CAAGTGATTCTGTAAAATTGGAAATCTTGCATTAAGCACTGCTTATATTGAAGAAGAATGCTGTTCAGTACTGCATCTAACTATTATCTGCGAGAATTGTTTCATCATTTCTCTTGATCTTCTCTACTGACAATGTAATTTTTGACACCCATATAATCTTTGCTTATTCATCTTTCAGGTGAACCTGTGTGTTCTTGTTGGTCGCTGAGGTTCCATATTTGAGAATACATATGGGCCACTCAAGGAGGTGTTGGCTTGTTAGAAACGGCTTTCAGAGCACCTGTGTATATTCACATGCCTTGTACTTTCTCACTTTAGAGCTTTAAAATGAGGGTACTTGTGAGGGGGAGTAGAGTAAAGGACAACTGACCTCAGGAAACGCTACTGCCCTGAAGATTCTGTATCTCAGGAGGAGGATGTGTCAGTGAGAGACATACCGTAAGCTGTGATCCAAGAAATTTAATTGAGATCGTGTTACATATACTATAGCAGGGAGAGGAAGTATGTGAACTAAATAAATTCTTCACCAGAAGAATTAAAAGAGCTCTCAGTTTGATGATTATCATGACATCAAAACTAGCTGGCATTACTTTGCAGTATTAGTACAATGCTGCTAAAATAAACCAATAATATTTAAATGTAATAATTAAATGTTAAAAACTTCAGATGGGGGTGGGGAATTTACACTGGAATAACTATTTCTGCATGTTGAGGTTTTGTGTTAAACAGCAGTACAGTCCATGATACATAGCTGAGTGCCTCTACATACCCAAAATGTGCATTAAGTGATTTCAGATTAGGAGATCTGGCAACAGCTGCTCCCAGGATGCTGACAAGTAGAAGTTTATTAGCAAAGCACTCTTCCTAATCATTTTAGGCAAAAAAGACTGGCAACAACTGCTTCTCTTTCAAATTGCCACTTTAAGTTAGTCAGTTTTTTCAAAAAGTTGTCAAGGTTACAGTATGAGTTTCTCCTTGTGCTGGTTTTGGCTAGCATAGAGTTAATTTTCTTCATAGTATCTAGTATGGGGCTGTACTTTGGATTTGTGCTGAAAACAGGGATGTTTTCATTGCTGCTGAGCAGTGCTTATACAGTCAAGGCCTTTGCTGCTTCTCACCCCACCCCACCAATGAGTAGGCTGGGGGTGCATGAGAAGCTGGGAAGGGGCACAGCTGACCCCAGCTGACCAAACGGGTATCCCACACCATATGATGTCATGCTCAGCATATAAAGCTGGGAAGAAGAAGGAAGGGGGGACATTGGGATTGATGGAGTTTGTCTGCCCAAGTCACCATTACGCATGGTGGAGCCCTGCTGTCCTGGGGATGGCTGAGCACCCGCCTGCCCATGGGAAGCAGTGAAAGAATTCCTTGGTTTGCTTTGCTGGCGTGTGTGGCTTTTGCTTTCCCTATTAAACTGTCTTTATCCGAACCCACAAATTTTACCTTTTTTTCCAATTCTCTCCCCCATCCCACTGCGGGGGAGTGAGTGAGTGAGCGGCTGGGTGAGTCTTAGTTGCCAGCTGGGGTTAAACCACGATACTCCTGCAAAAGGGGGGGGTGAGAAGGACTGAAAATAATTAAACTTTATAAGAGTGAATTGACATAGCAATAGTGATAACACACAGTTGCTCTGATTAAAATTTATTTCTTAAAAACTGTTTAAAACTTTGTATGTCTTTAAAACTCTGCCTCTTCTTGAATTAATTATGGAATGCAACATGTGTAGCATGTTTGGTTTTGGAGTTTTTGTCCTTTTCAACTGCTGCATTATGGTCTGTCTTGTTTCCCTGTCCTTCTTTGCCATTTCCTCATTTTTCTCTATTCTAGATGTTGCTTGTTTCCATCATTAGACCTCTGTTATCAATGTCCCTTCATCTTCAGCCAGTTGTATCGCAAGTCTCCGAAAAATACACGACATTGGAGTAAAAGCAAAAAAAAAAAGCTAATTTTTAATTGAATGGTACTTTTTTCTACTTGCTTTTCATTAGTGAATTGCCATCCCTTTCACTGCCCTATATTTGGAAAATCCTTTTGCATTATGTGGCTAGACTGTAAGCCTTGCAGAACAAGGACAGTCTTATTTCATGTCTAAAAGGTATATGCCACTTTTAGGCATGTTACCCGTGTTAAATAAAAGTCAAGCATTCCCCCAGTACTGTCCTGTTCCAGTATTAGGTTACCTGCCTAGTGGCACCTCTGTTCTTCTCTCTTCAATTCACTAATCTGTAATTCCTCTGTCACTACTTTAAATTCTTTAACTTCCAGCATTCTAGTCAGTGCCTTGAAACAAACTGGATTGCTGCATTTCCAGAGAAGATATTTTGTTTACAATTTTAGCATGTTTTATTTCTTTAACTTTCTTATATTTTCTATTTACTTTATAAACTCTTCTTGACTCCATTGTTTGTTCTACAGTGGACTTGGCACTTCTTGGGAATTGGATTTATTTTCATCTAGCAGATTAGTATCAATAGTGAAAATGTGATGTCTGGTTTTCAACATTTAACTTTTAAAATGTAAACCTCTATGAAGACTGCTCTGTTTAATGTTTTGTTGGCTCAGTGGTAATGGTTTAAATGTGTTACCTTGTAGAATTAATCTTTCAGGAATATTTACAGTAAGTGAAGCTACGTTTCATTTATTTAATAACTACCAATTACTCTCTTGGCTGCCAGCATGAGGTTTGAAAAAGTTGTATGTCTGAAAAATCACTTCAAATAGCTGAGTTGATGACAATTCAAGAGAGGTGTCCCTTTGATAAAAGATTGTCCTTTTGATAGGCATTTGATTGTGTTGCTGTCTACCTTCTCATTGCCAAATGACTTCTGTTTCAGCAGACCAGATTATTTATAGTCATCTTTTAGCTTTGTTAGGAACATAAACCATAGTTTTTGTGTTTAAAATTAGTCTAAAAGGCTATTTTTCTTTTCGCAGCAAAATGAGAAGGAGAACTTGTTGAAGGAAAGAAACCACATTCTGTCAACTCTGGGTGAGACAAAGCAGAATCTGACTGGACTTTGCCAGCAGGTGTGTAAAGAAGCAGCCTTGAGCCATGAGCAGATACAAATACTTGCAAAATATTCTTCCTCAGATTGCCCGCTTTCTTTTTTATTCCCGGAGAGAGAACGAACCGCTCCATCTGATAGTGAGCTTGCGATACCAGCGTGTATAGAATTAGCAGATGGTCTTTCAGGTGTTACATCCACAAATGAGCAGAATTCTTGTTATCAGTGTGTGAAAGGTGTGTGTGATGCAACATATGATCAAGTACAAGAACTGCATCCAGTTTCTGTAAGAACATTGGAGAAAACTTCGCTTGTGGAACAGTGTGGACAGAGCGGTGGTATCACAGACTTCTGTCAGCAAATGACTGACAAATGCACTACAGACGAATGAATATTCCTATTGCCAGCCTGTCAACGCTGCAACTAAAGTGAGATTGAGCATTATTGTAAAGCAACTTACTAAGTGAAAGAAAAAATGAAACTTTCTCTTTTGAAACTACATTGACAATTTACATGGTCATTATATTACTGGGCAAGCTTTGGGTTTGCTCTGTATAGTTCTAGAGTATAATTTGTATGTGTCAGTCTTGGAGCTTTTTCTGTGTGGCGATGCCAAGGAGAGTTCAGGAAAGCTGTTGGAAAGTGTATACTCTGTGCACACATGCCTATTTGTGAGGAAGCTTTCATTCAGGTATAGAGCAGCCTTCACTCTTATTTATGTCGCAGTACCTAACGCCACTCTGCATCTCAAGAGAAGCCTCCTAACAGGTGCTTATGCACAATGACTTCTATACCTGGAATTCTTACCTCTAAGATTTCTTTTTTCCTGGTAGACAAACCTTAGGAAGCATATATAGCTCTGTAAATGTTTATTTTGTAGATGGGTTAGGATAATGTGACAGAATGAGGAGATTCTGGCAAGTGCGCTCCTGGAACAGCCTATTGCTTCCTGCTGTTCCCATCCCTGTACCAGAGCCAGCTTTTACTGAATATATGCCTTTGTCTTAGCTCCCCAGTACGTAGTTAAGACAACTGGAACAGCGGAGGTGCTGCAGCATAATGCTCTCTTCTCTAAATTTTGTGGGAGGAATAACAACATACTGGGAAAGACAGGAGTTTGAAACTGATGCAATTCTTTGATTAGTGTGCATTGGATCCTCTGGCATCTGAATCCCATTTGCTTGTTAAAATTCATTGCTGTAATGTGACTTACTGTCTTAGCACCCCCAAGCTCGTTGCTGTTCGTGGCAAGCCAGAATCAAAGTATTGTGAAAGTTTAAGGGCAGGGGTTTTGGGTTTTAAGGTATTCAGGCACCAAATTCTTTGACTACAGTGCCTAATTGCCTAAAGTAATACACAAATGTATTCTCTGATCACTGGGACCAGTAAAGATCTGTTTCAGAATTTTAGTCTTCAGGATACTTTTATGGCTAAACCTGTAGTAGACTTTCAATGGCTTGTGCTATAAGTATAAACATATAGAAAGTATAATAAGGAAATGAGCTGGAGGGATTTCCTTTATTTACTTTGTGAAGAAGAAATTCAGCTACTAAAAATAATCCCTGTTTTTTAGACTTTCACGTGGCAGTAGATGCATATTGTATACCAATGATGCTTTGTTATTCAGATGTTATTCTCACACCGGCGCTAAGTATTGAACCTCACCACAGAAAACTTTGTGTTTGCTGGTTTACAAAACATGAAGAATCTTATACAAGCCAGTGGAATTCTTCATTTCCTACCTCAGAATGTATATTAGCCTTTTGTGTCTTTGTGTGCATGTACAGTAGGCAGCAACTAAGCAAAGGACTATTGTAAATACTGCTTTGCAGTTTTATCTTGCAGTGAGACAAAACTTGTTCTTGGCAAGGCTTTTTTTTTTTCTTTTTTCCTCCTCCCCCCCTTTTAGGTAACATAGCATTAATAAATATATTAAGACTATCAAGCCACTTATTTAATACAAAAATTTAAAATTTGACAGGTTTCAACAGTACTTCTCATAACCAGCATGTAATAGAAGTGACTACACTACCTCACCTATGGGATTGGAAGTTGATTCAAATCTCTAGTGATATCCTTGGATTTTCATCATATATCATTACTTTTTTGAGGGGAAAATCTATGTTCATGGAGCATAGCTTGTATAAATCACAGTGCTTGCAGTAATTGAAATTCAGAAATACTATATGGCAGCCATCAGGAGAGTTCTACTGCTTTGGATGTATTTTCAGATAATTGAAATGAAATTCTTTTAAATGATTATCATTTATATATGTTGATCCTGTATATGTATTACTCATGAAACTCTCTGGGTTTTTTTCTTCAACATCTGTATATGCCTGGTTAATTTAATCCTGCCTCCCTCCCATGCTGCCACCCTGGGCGGTGTTTGCTCCTACATCTCCATTTTATTTAAAAAGCAAACCAACAAGAAACAATAAAAAACAAAACAGAAAGCCCCAAACCTCTCTACTGTCCGTACATAATATCACTTTTAAAGCCGGTGATACTCTGAAATGACGTGGATAATGACGTTAAAGCATTGTCCTAATAGTACACATTCTCTGAAATGGAATTCCTTGGCTTAAATGTTTGTTATAAAGGGGTGGAGCATATATGTAGAGAATGACTGGCTGGGGAACTTAAACATATCCAGTGGCCCAAACCCCCAACACACTTGGCTATGGATGTTGGAAAACAAGGTCAGTGATTACCAAGTTCAGAGGCCAGAACATCCACCAAAGAATTGTGCTCCGCTGCTGCGGTCTGGTGATCAGCCAGGGTCTGAGTTCCACCCAGCAAGCGGTGCAGGGCTTCCAGTGCGGAAATCATGGCTGTCATTGACATATGATAAAATTCATGTCAGGTTTTTAAACCTATGATGAACTTGATGAAGTTTGAGGGTAGGTTTTTGCCTAGCCAGCTGCATCTAAATAATTTTTAAAATATTTATTTAATACAGTAGACCTACAAGTTGCATGTTGACTTCTATAGCCTATATCATCAACTTGCAAAAGTTAAGAATGAATGACAATTTTATGATACAGAATTCTCAGGTAAATGTTTTGGAGTTTGGTTGGGTTTTTTTCCGTAAAGAAATACTCAATTTTGAAATTGTAAAATACTTTGTTAAAGCATGTTTTAAAATACTTTGGACAGACTATCTTAAAGCCATAAGAGTATGATGGCATACAAGATTGTAAAATAAACAGCTAATTACAACAGTTGATTTTGTATCTTTCATAATTCAATATTTTCTAAGACTTCAATAAAAACCACTATCCTTTCTACAAAGGCTTTTCTTTTTTGTATGAGTCTTTTGCAGTGAAAGTCTTTACTGGTGCATTATTCACTTACGTAGTACTACTAAAACATTTCTGAAAACAGTAGCAAAGTAGTCTATATAGTTTATAAGTTCCTGAATAATACACACAGTAGCAAATATTATTGAGTTGGAATAAATTTCCTGTAAGTTTATTTGACTTTTTTGTGTGTCCTGTTCTGTTTGAGTGGGTTTTCTTTTCTGGGGAACTTTGTTAGTTATTATTTTAAGGGAGAGAAGAGATAGATGGCTGATTAATGGGACATTGCAGGTTTGTAGGGTCTAGGAAAACCTTGGAGGTGACGATTACATGCATGGTATAGATCAGTGCATGAGAGTGAGATCTGTCATGGGGGAAGTTGTAATAAGATGTGTGTTTCTTAAGCTTCTCAGTAAATATCTTTGACTGTAGATCTGTTAGGTCCTGTTAAATAATCAGCAGGAGTGCAGAAAAATGATCCTTTGAGAAACCGTGTTTATCCTCACCTCCCTGTGCACCTAAGCAGTAAACTGTGCCACTGGATCTGGCCTTTCGGTGCTGCGTTTAACCTTGTTCAGAAGGCTTCTCGTCGGAAGTCCTGCTTCATTTAAAGCTTTTGTGACTTGTGCATTTGACGCTTTCAAGTCTGAAATCACTCGATCCCCCCAGCAGACCCTTCATTAAAAGTTAAAACAGTCTCTTTTTGGGGAAAATGCTGGAAAGCAAGGCAATCGATTATAAGGCTCAGCTTGCTGTTTGTAATTGATAAGGCAGAAAAAGCTGTATCCCTTTCTCCAGGAACAGTTTTGTCCTTGGAATTTGTAGTCGCTTGGATTTAGTTAGTGTGTTGCGCTTCTCTTGACTTTAAGAACCAAGACATCGGCTTGCACAAGAATGTTAGCGTGGTTCCTCTTTGAGCAAGCTTCTAATCTTGGTGCAAGGATCTGATGTGTTTAAAACTCCTCTTAAGATTCAGCAAGGAACAACGGCAACGAGAGCTAAAAGGTAGGTATGCCAGAGACGAGTAGGGTACAACTGGTTCTGCCCCTGGGTCTTTTTTAGGAAGTAAGAAATGAGGAACTGCTGACAAGTGACAGCCTTCGTGTGAGCTCCGGGTTTGCATCTGAGCATGACGGAGATGAGTGAAATTTGTTTAAAGTGAAACAGCAACATTTCTGCAAAAGCTGAAAAGAAGGTAAAAGCACCTGCTTTAACTTGAAGCAGGTTTTCAACAAACTTCTGACAAAGGTTGGAGCGTAAACAAACAGTTGACCTTTACAGAGCAAAGTGAATCTTGTCCCTTTTTGGCACTGAAATACAAGCTGGACCCTTAGGCGTTTTTGATATTCTGTTGTCTGCATATTGATTTCTTCTGTGGCTTGTTTTTCAAAAGAATGACCCTCAGAAGTACACAGCTGCAATTCACTAGCATGTATAAAGGAGAATTTTAGGGTTGGTACATTAAGACTTACTGCCAGTTGAGTTTTTGTGGACAGAACTAAAGGGAAAAAAAATAAGGGAAAATGAGCTGGTTTAGCAAAGGTTTGAATAAGAGAGACTTCATGAATACTGTAAAAGCCTATCTAAGCATGTGTTATGCTCTCTAGGCCTCAAGGTTGTATACACTGCACTTCAGCTTTTTTTCTAATTACTATTTTTAACCTTATTGAATTGCAAATATTAATCTGACAGATGGTGGACACTAGCAGTCATTTTTTCCCCACCTTTAGATAACTGGGATGGGGCAGGGGAAGCGGTGTTCATCTCAGATGGAAGCTCTAGAAATTAACAGGGTGTTTAAACAAATGTTTCTGTTGAGAACAAGGAGGTTCATGAAGGTGCAGGAACGGTTGTTGATGGGAAATGTTTTGCCATGTCGTAGGTTTAAAAATAAAGAATGAAAAGTGCTGATTTTCCTGTTGAGCCAGGAGAGATTCAGGGAAGAACATTTCAGGAGCACGTGCTAGAATCCAATTTTTTTCTAGTTTAGAGAAAGCGTTTCTTACTTTTCTATCCCTTCTCCACTGTTTTGAAGAAAAGCGAAAGAAAAAATAGTTATAATAATACTCATTCAGAAAACCGTGTAGCTTTCTAAAGATGCTATTAAAAAAGCTTATATATATGCTAGGTATTGCAGGCACACTATTCCAAAGAGGTTTTGATTAAGGGATGTGAGATAACCAAATAACAAGATTTGCAAAGTACAAGATAAACCATAATCTCACTTTAGTTTCAGGGCAGTGTTTTGACTCGCTACCTACCAAACACTTCATTAGATAGGCATTCTGAGCCGTGAGCGGGGATGGCATGGCTGCGGGAGGGTAAAAACCGCTTTAGGCTATGAACATAAATCTGTTCCGTGGTGGATTATATTGACTCAACATTAGGTTTGCTTATTCTATAATAAATTACCACTATGGCCTCACTTAAAGATGTTATTACCAGCTAGTGTACTGAACAGCAAATATATGTGTATATATACATAATAAAAAAAAAAAAGAAAGATAATAGTAATTTCCCTGAACTCCTCAGAGTATCTGCTAGTCAGCTGGTTTGGCACACATCACGGAGCACCTGCGGTGTTCTTTAAGCCGTGACATCCCTATAGGAGTTAAGGTATGTGCCATCACTTTCCTGACTGCATTTGGATCTGCATTTGAGAGGAAACTGAGGAGCGGGACAGCTCATACTGTACTTCATTCTGGTGTCAAGCAGAGAAAACCACACTGCATAGTCAATATTCTCGAAGAAGTCTTGAGGTTATGCTTATGAAGTTCACTAGAAGCTGAATATTTGCTTGTAGATGGTCTTTGACTGCAGTTACGGGGTAAAAGTACTGTGTGTGTGCAGCGGTTTCTTTCCCCGGTCGGCTGGTGAGAAGCTTTTTCTGAGCGCTACAGCCAGTAAAGAGCTTCCAGCTTTCTGTATATTTATAGATGTATAAAAAAAAATAATGGGGTACAGATGAAAACTATCAACAAGTTTTTCTAGGTTCTAGTAGTCTTTTAAGACTTCTTTTAACTTGCACTTTTTTTCCTAATGAAAAACTGACTCATCAGCGATTTCCTAATGTTCCAAAGGTAGAAGGTGAAAATGAACATATTTGTAATACCTATAGAGGACACCAGAAAAGTGTCATCTGCTTTTGGGATTTCAGTCAGCACCAGATTAAACAAGGAACTTCTTTGTTTCTTCTCTCTGTTTTTTAATTAAAAAACCCCAAAACGCCCAACAAAAAAAAAAAACAAAAAACCACCAAAGGAAATAAAACCAGGAAGTGTCAGATTCTGGAAGACAGAAGTTGGTAATTTACAGAATGTACATGTCAAAAAAAGACTTTTCCATTATTTTCTTAACAGGAAAACAGGTTTCTAGGAAATTTATCACAATTTTCACTTTCTTAAAACTCGGCTTTCTGCAGAAGTATCATTTCATGAAGAGCCATTCTGAGAACAGAACAACCTCGATGCCTGAATAATCTGTGATGTGAAGATTTTATTTCTATAGCTCTTCTTCTTCCAAGTTGCTAATACCTGTCACGAAAATAACGGCTAGTGAGGGTCTTACACATGTAATTTGGCTTCCCAAGTTTCTTATTTCATACTGTTAAAAAAAGCCCTGAGTTTTGAAAGTGCTGATGTACTGTTGCTTTTTCTTTTATTTGTGCCCATGACGTGGATAGATACTTTTTTATCAAAAAAGATCGATTGATTTGCAGTGGGGATGATGGGGAGAAGAGCAGCCAACTGGGACTAAGTCCAGCCTAGGCATCCTTGCGGAGGTCTTGCTCACGGAGCTAGAATGCGAGCGCACAAATGTTCCTGTGCCTCTCTCTTGAGCGCTCGTCCTTTGAGAAGCCCGGATCGTTTTCGTTCTACAAATGCTAAGTATCCAGTGGCTTCTCTTATAATGTGAACTGTGCAGTCTTATTTTCTTCTTTAAACTATAGATGGCAGCATAATCCTGCGTACTTGCCTGCATTACTACTTCTCAAATCAGAACAACTAAATTCACATTTGCTGGTTTAAAGAAAAAATGAAAAACTAGTGGAAAAGTGAATTTAAATTCTTTTTAAAGAAATAATTTAGAAGATAAATTTCAATATCTAGCTTTTCAACCTGCAAATTTATGCTTAATTCTCACATTATTAGTTTCAACAGATTAGCAATGCAAATGCAGCGTACTGATTACTGATGTTCTACTGAGTTCAGGTCTGAATTTCAAAAGCAAACATTCTGCCCGTAACTTTTCATTCTTGAAGCGTGGTGTATCTTATGGACTTGAATTCAAGATAGAAGTGAGAACAACAGTAAAAATAAATAAAATACTTCCCGAGGCTTTCTGCATTGTGAATATACCTAAGTTGGAGAGTACATTGAAGTTTGCCTTGGGACCTGGCCTAACAGGGCTTTAGCGTCTTTTTAATATTAAATGAGATATTAGTTCAAGGAGCTTACATTACTTATTTTCTGAAAGAGTTTTTAAAATTCTGGGCCAGCATTGGGTCTTCTAAGTATAAATAAGGACAGAAATAGATTATGGTTTAAAAATCAAGCTACTGTTTTCTAAATCAAGTGACACTGCTTTAAGAGACTCGATCAAATAGCATCCCTAGTTTGTGGTCAAGAAATTATGACCTTGCCCATCTGTGCACACTGCACAGCAAGGTACTGGGAGGTAATTTCCACCAAGAAAGTTGAGGATGCTTCTGGTGCCTCTTTCCCCCTTCTTGGTGGACCCTCGTCTTCCTCAGTGCTGCTCTGAAGGAGGAAAATGCTTTTTTTTCAAACAAGCCAGATGGTACTAGGTGATACCAAGTGTTTGGTACAAACAAGCAGAACAAACCAGGCTTTGGAAGAAAAAATTTGCTTTTACACATTTTACACAGCATCAACGGCAGCTCTCAGCTGATGCTGTGTAACACTGCCCACAAAGAAAGGGGGAAGAAGAAAGAATTAGCTGAGGTAAAATAGATGCCTAAGTTTAATTATT